GAGAGAGAGAGAGAGAGAGATTCCTGACATGGCTGTAAGAGTTAGAAAGCTGAACACTCTTGTGGGGAGGGCATTTCAGAGCACTGTGTGTACATTGATTGAGCATTCACGAACAACTGTCATCGTTCTGGGACGAAGTGACAAGTACCAGCTGTGACTGCATCAGACAGGCCTCTTGCTAAGGGCAGTGCTGCAACCTTGAGTAGGAATGTGAATACACTTGTCGTGCGACTCTCGTGCCATTGGTTCCTCCTCTGTTTACCAAAATTGTCTTGTACGGTGCTCTACCCAAACAAAGCAAAAAAAAAGTTGGCGGATCCAGAGTTCGTCCATAATTATTCTCTAGAATCTCTACCCATCTGGTATCAGTTGTGATATTCCGTAGAGAAACGTGAAGTCAGGATGCAGGAGGAGGGAGAACCTTGAATACGATAGTCTTCGTAGTCGAGGGAAAAAAAAAAAAAAAAAAACCATTCGATCTGTTATTCCTTGGTATGGATTGACATATGAAAGCTTTGAAAACGTTATTCCTGACGTTAACTTCGGAGACAGAAATGATCAAACTTGAAAACAGCAACGGCGAGTTTGCAATATGGACTCCGAACATGAAATGAGTACCGTCCAACAAATATTTTTTATGAAGTTTCAGTTTTATCATATATCTGGCATGAATTCATCGCTGTCTAATTGAGGTACGTATTTTGTCCACCTCGTCTTGCGTCACTGCGGAGTAAGAAAGGAGAAGATGAATTAGGTCTTCATAGGTTTGGTTATACCACCAGTTCCCTGTGCCGGTGCCGGGGGGTTTCCGACATGGAGGCAGGGAGGCCACGAGCACAAGCAACAGGCTTGGCCTAGGGTCATTTACAAGACAGACGGCCCCGTCCTTCGGGACATCTGTGAAAATTGGAACGATACAGAGAAGGGTGATTAGCAAATGGCCCCTGTGCAAGTAAGGATGACACGCATAAATCGAGAAATGGTCCAAATTAAAAAAAAAAAAAAAAAAAAAAAAAAAAAAAAAAAAAAAAACAAACAAACAACCAAAAAAAAAGAAAAAAAAAAGGAACCAGGACCTTAAGGCCCTTTTTTTTAAAAAAAAAAAAAAAAAAAAAAAAAAAAAAAAAAAAAAAAAGACAGACAGACAGACAGACAGACAGACAGACAGACAGCCCCACCTCAGCAAGGACACCAAAGTGGGAAAGAACAGCTATGAGCAGGTTGGTTGTGTGTTCGAGTCGTGTTCGGCATGCACATGCTTTCGCGCAGGAACTGCTTTAGAGTTGCACGCTATGGAAGTGTGGCTGCGTAGGGGATGAACGTGATTTGGTACACACCACCGTGTCTCAAGATCTCCGTGCTGGCGGTGGGGTGAAGTGCTCGTCTTGGGGGTTCACTTTCACCCCAGCCCAGTTAGCCTTATGGCTATGGGTGGTAGCCTGCCGAGTGGAGAGTTGGGTGTTCGAGTCTTGTATTCGGTATGCACATATGAGCAAGAGAAAAGGAAAGAGAACAGAAGTAGCATGTCTCGATTCTGTCATGATGAACAACAAGGAGAAAGGCAAAAAAAAAAAAAAAAAAAAAAAAAAAAAAAAAAAAGAGACGGAGAAAAGGAAAAAGAACAGTATTTGCATGTCCGGATGCATTCCTCATAAACATGCATGAAAAGATACGAAAGAGAGCTGTTTTTTATGGACCTCTGTTAAACGAAACAGGTAGAAGAACAAAAACGTGCTCACATAGACACTGGTGAATGCATCTGGACAGGAAAACGGTCCAGAGTCGTTCAACAGTCTTGAATAAAAGACCACCTTCTCTAGTTCAATCAGTCAATTGTTAGAGGTTATGAACAAGCAGCGGCATTTCTTCTAGTGGATTGAAACGGCATTTCTTCTAGTGGATTGAAACGGCATTTCTTCTAGTGGATTGAAACAGCAAACGGCATTTCTTCTAAGGAATGCATCTGGACAGGAAAACTGTCCATGGACAAGAATTGAAAGACAATGGAATTAGTGTTGATTGGGAATGAATGTTTTTTTTGGAGTGTTTTTGTTGTCAAAACTTAAAAAGGTAAAAGGTGCGCAAAAAAATGACGACTGTCTTGCTTGGGTAGGGGTATTTTTGGGTAGGCCTATTTGAGTGAGAATTGTTGAGCAGTATGCTCACTGATTCAATGCTGTGCTTGTCACAGGGGCCGGTCTCGTGTCGCTCCGGGTTGTTTGTGAGGATTCCCGGCCTCATTTGGTCTTTGAATGGAATTCTTGCTCTTCCCCAAAAACCAAAAAAAAAAAAAAAAAGAATTGAAAGACGAACAAGGCGGGCATCATCACAAAAATGCCCGGATTGTAAAAAATAAAATAAAATGCACAGATTACTGTCCACTGTCCAGACACCAGATACATTCACAAATCAGGTACAATTCCATTTCAGAGGGACTCCTCCTTTCTAACAACATGAGCTCCCTGAGCAACAGCCTCCTTCCACCTCTCTCTCTCTCTCTCTCTCTGTGCACAATTCAGTCACACTTCCATCTCTTTCCTCTCCCCCTCACTGAGGTTTGCAAGTGGGAGGTCTAGGCTCACTTTCTTTTTCATGGTTTGGCACTGAATCTACCGTCTTCACCCCCATACAATATAATCATTATTGCTGCATCTAGACTGAAAATTGCCCCAAATACCTCTATAACGACCGTATGTTGTATCCAGGTGACGACGGTGGTTCCGCAGCCAGTAGCTAGCCATGGACTGGATCGCAGGTACTGGTGGCTCAAAAATCCGAGTCATTATGGCTGCACCTAGACTGAAAGTTGCCCCGAATACGACCACAATGACCGTAAGTTGTATCCAGGTGACGATGGTGGTTCTGCTGCCAGTCGCTAGCCATGGAAAATCCAAGTTCACCGAAGAATGACCTTAGCTGTAAAAAGAAGCCGCTTCAAGAGCGAAGCATCGGCCAGAAGAACCGACCGGTGAAACTGACTGAGCAGGCTCAGTCTGGCTCATCATTGGAATTGTGGCAACAAGATTTCCTAAGGGGCCATCAATATGATAGATCACCCTTGGACAAGTTGGGACTCGGGAGTATAAAAAGAAAAACAAAACAGAGAACATGACAAAAAAAAGAAAGCTCACAGACAAATGCTGCATTAACCCACCTTTCTTCTTACACTGCACAGGTCTTGTATGTGCCTAAGAAGAAAAGAGCCTTGCACCCACCTTGTTTGTGCCTAAGAAGAAAAGATACATTCCACCTGCCTTGTTTTTTAGTATTTATACACTGATTATCGAATGTCTTAACCTTTTCCTCGTATCGCCGATCTCTTTGGATAAATTGCTGGGGTAGGTAAGCAAGCACCTCTCACAACTCGTAAGATTAATGTCAACTCCAGGTGCAATGTACCCACTCCATGTTGGCTCCGAAGGTCAGCGTAGGGCTGCATTTAGAACAAGGTCTGAGTACTACGGACGGACATGTAGAGGTGATGCCCTTCGGCTTGATGAACGTTCCAGCCACTTTCCTATTCAGGGAGTGACGAGACGAGCTCGGGAAGTGACGAGACGAGCTCGGGAAGTGACGAGACAAGCTCAAACTTCAAAAAAAGTCTTTCGAAGATTCTATATAATATTTTGCTGTTCACAAAAATATGTATAAGATTGACAAAACTTCCACGCACAGACATACACAAAACACACACATGAATCGGTGAAAGTGCAATGAAACAGTTTGGCACACTCGTGTTTTCTTTGTTGCAGTTCTGCATAGCGAATATGACAAAACACACACACACACACACACACACACACACACACACACACACAGTTGGATTGACACAAGCCTACCACTTTTAACTGACGTTTATTTGAATGGAGCTCAAGAAAAAATGAATGTGAGAAGACAATGGCATTCAGTTGAATGAAGCTATTAAAAAACGTCTAACGAGAAAATACCAGTATTGGTCGGACAAGCTCACACCGGACAGCTTGACACCCCTCACCTACTTTCTCTCTTGTCAAGCTTGAATGAAACTATTAAAAAAGTTAAAAAAACGTCTAACGAGAAAATACAGCTTGACAAGCTCAGGTCCTAACATCCGTTGGTGTATCCATCAAGACTTGAACACATGACCTGTTGCTAACACAGTTGTCAGTTGTGACCATTTGTCACGGCGCAGGCTATACCACTTACCCTTGCCTTCTTCCTACTTAACCTGTACCATCATACAGATTCACACTTCAGCGCATCCTGCTATGCTCAGCTTGCACATGGGAGGCAGACAGCAAAAGCTTCGTTTCTTTTCTTTTTTCACACAGCAAAAGCTTCTAGCTTTCCCTTGCGTGTTTTTTTTTTTTTTTCCAGATTCTATCATTCTTTTCCAGCTTTTTTTTTCCTGCCACACTTTATTTTTCTGATTTCAACTTTGAACAACCAGAAGCTGCAGCAAAAAAAATAGAAAAAATAGAAAAAAAATAAAAAAATCTAGTGGCGAGTCTAGCCACAAAAAAAAAAGAAAAAATAGAAAAAAATAGAAAAATTTAAAAAAAACGAAAAAAAAAGGACACTCAAAATTCCTGACCTTGGGTCTTGCTGAGCAACTGGGCCTTATTCTCAAATTCTTCTTTTCCGCAAACCATTTCCAATTTCCAATCCAATTTTTCACTCAAAAGCAATCAGAAAAGAAATACACTTAAAAAAAGCACACATCCTGAACCCCATCTATTTGCTACCTGGAAGGACTTCTCTCACCCTAATTCTCGCCGACCTATTTACAAATTCGAATTATATTTCCACAACTCACTCCCTTCGTAATTTTCGCAAACCATTTTCCAATTTCGGATCCAATTTTTAACTCAAAAGCAACCAGAAAAGAAGAAGAAAAAAAAAAAATCACATCCTGAACGGTCTGAAGTTCTCTGCACCTAGCCCTCTATTCGTTACTTGGAAACATTGGAAAGGACTTCTCTTACCCTAATTCTTGCCGGTACTATTTACAATTGAGTAATTTACAAATTTGAATTTTATTTTTTCTCAACTCACTTCCTTCCTGAACTACCGACACAAATCGGACAGGTCGAAATACAGTTGGAACCTTGCTAAGCTAAGCCACATAGAAAGTGTGACTGCGATCGTACGGACAGAAGACCATAAACCCCAAGAGAAAGAAAAAAAAAAGAGACTAACTGGGATGCGATAGACTGTACCATCAATTCCAACTTCCAAGTGCCATCAACAAAACTAACCCTAGTTGAACTACAACAACAGCCAGTGATTCCCAGGCAGTGTCACATTACCATACGAACGTCGAACGCACCTCTCCCACCTAATATTGAAGAACATTCGCCAATACAAAGATGCTGGCACGCTTTTCCTCATTCTACATTCTCACTAACCGCCTGGCAGCAGAACCCATTGACAAGAACACAACTTACAACACACACCTGCGGCGGCGACACCGGCGGTGTTCTGTTCTTCCACATCTCTCAGTGAGATAACTCGAGTGGGGGCGACACCGGAGGGCTGCTGTTTGCAACACAACTAATGTAAATGTTCCAAATATACGACGCTGAATTGTTGAACAGTGGCTGCAAAAAAAATTGCACACACACACACACACACACAGAGCAAGCGAGAGAGAGAGAGAGAGAGAGAGAGAGAGAGAGAGAGGTGGGTGCAATAAAGAACAAACATTGCATGCACATAGTCAGCAAAGGAGTTGAACAATTATCTGCACAGAGTTCCATGATCATAAGTATATCCCCACCATAAGTACACATTCCACGTTAAATGCTCTTTTCACTGCAAATGCTCTTTTCACTGCATCAAGTCAATTTTCATCCTTGTCCCTCATAACTGCAACTTAGGCATTCACATTTGCCATCCTTCTAGTTCATGTCCTCGAGATTTCAGCACCCAATGCCCATTATGCACTTTTCTAGATCACCAACTACATACTCTTCTCGTCATCGATTATCTACATTTCCACCAACGTTCTAGAAACTTTCTAGTAACTCTCTAGAAACTTGTGCTAGCGGTGTCTGCTCGTACCAGCACTGCTAGCACTGACGGGTGTGTTTAAAAAAAAAAAAAAAAAAAAAAAACTCTCTAGAAACTTTTTAGTAACTTTCTAGAAACTTTCTAGTAACTTTCTAGCAACTTTCTAGTAACTTTCTAGCAACTTTCTAGTAACTTTCTAGTAACTTTCTAGTAACTTTCTAGTAACTACATCTATTTGCCTCCTCGGCAGTCCAGAATTGAATTAGGCTAAACATGTTCGTTGAAGTCAACACAGATCACATACTTTTTGGAATTTGGTGCAATTGTGCAATTGGGACTCGGGTCGCATATTGTAGATATAGAAATACAGGAAAAACATGATCGGGGAAGATTTGTGAAATGCCCCTGAGCATTCACGTATATACTGGAGTACCCCTGAAAGAAGTGAGTAGACCGGAATACCCCTCCAACACTTTAACAGCTTGCGACAATGGCCTTTTGGATGTAAATTTTGAATTCTTGCATTATACCCCTGTCAGGAGGTTTGCCAAGTTTGTGCTATACCCGTTTCAGGGGCAGATTGCAAACTTTCAACAGGGGTATAATGCGAACATTTAAATCCAAAAGGGCAAATTTCCAAACTTTTTGAAATTTCAGAGGGGTATTCTGCTCTACCCACAACATCTTTTAGAGGTATTTAAACTGTAGTTTAGCATATACGTGACCTTTTCAGCCTCAGCGGGTTATTTCACATATTCTCCCATATATAACATATGATAACATCTTAGCACAATACATCAATTCAAATTTAAAACATACAATGAAGTTTTTTTTTTTTTTTTTTCTATACTCTTCTCTCAACTTCTGTTTCTTTTACCTTCCATTACCTACTCCTAAGACTATCTAGAGGGGACCCCTGCAAGCATAGTTTTCCTCTCTCTCTGTGAAGGGTAGATTTCATGTTGCCCCTTGCCCCTAATGGTTAGGGTATAGGGTTGGGGCCGCCAGTGGGGGTCTGGCTAACACAAAGACCGAGACCTGCCAGTAGCTGTGCCTCCCTTTCTCATCGTCCCCCACCCTTCATCGAGTAGCAGCAGAGGCTATGGCCAACACTCTCCCATTAAGCTGTCTCTTATACACATCTAGATGTGTATAAGAGACAGCCATAGCGCCACTTGATACAGCGCCGGACGGTCGAGTCGTATATTGGCGACTTGATATGCACCGATGGCGACATGACAAGTAAAACTCATGTCATCATCTTCTTCGTCGGAATTTCCATTTCCGTATGATTTTCCCTCGACCTCCATTCCAGCCAGGTTAGACCCCTGATGACACCAGACTGGCGACTGGTAGAAACCGGTCGGGTCCTTCGCCAGATGAGTGCGCTATTTCCGACGAATTTTTCAAAGCGCCACCTGCGCTCGGAGTTGTTTGTCTTTTCGTCTATGTCTGTCATGTCGTGTGTCTTGACTATGTCTTGACCTTGCGGTGTGTTGTAGTGCGACTTAGCACTGTCATTCTTGTAACTACTCCATAGCGCCACTTGATACAGCGCCGGACGGTCGAGTCGTATATTGGCGACTTGATATGCACCGATGGCGACATGACAAGTAAAACTCATGTCATCATCTTCTTCGTCGGAATTTCCATTTCCGTATGATTTTCCCTCGACCTCCATTCCAGCCAGGTTAGACCCTGTCTCTTATACACATCTAGATGTGTATAAGAGAACCCCCCAAAAACACGACACTTCAGCTCAACAGATAAATCCCACCGGCAGCCCATCCAAGCTGCAAAAACACAACCCAGCATCCAAAAATCGCAACCAATTTCAGCTCAACAGAATCGCCAACTTACTTCATCAGCTCAACACAGAGCCACAGACCCTTATATACAACACAGACCTGAATGAACTCAATCCTAAACCACTCCATGAAAAAAGCAAGAACTACAACAAGCACATAGAAATCACAATTCGTTGAATTCGACCCAAAGTTCCAAACATCACACTGCAGCTGAAAATAATTTGCTTTACAGCTCGAGTTGTTGTGACCTTTTTTTTTTATTATGATTATTATTTTTATTTTTTTTAATCTGGCACTGTATCATTCCAATTTTAGCACACGTCTTGAAGTACCGTTGTTGCCGCTGCTTGATTTTTATTTATTGCATTTGAATTTTGAACTAAGACAATTTTCCTGTCCACAGTTCTGCAATTTAAAACAAAGCTTATGATCGATACCACAAAAATAGGACAGCATGGAAGGGTCTTTCGCGATCAGGCACCTATTGTATGTTGTTATATTGGTGTCGCTTCAACATCATCCATATCCACTTACATTTACCCAAATAGCGCCGGTTGCAACAGTGCCGACGGCTAGACTGGTACTAAGTGGCTACTGGAAGAGACATCGACTGCGTCACCACCTGTAGAGGGTGAGGTTGGACCGCTGAGGTGGTGAGCAGAGAGGAAGTGGGAGTGCTGATTGAGAGCATCAACCTCCATAGCGCCCATCCCAGCGATACCGCGCCGGAGGCTTGAGTGGTATATTGGCAAGCTGCTACTGCAAGAGACATGAACTACATCAGGGTGGGGTAGGGCCACTGCGGTGGCGAGCAGAGAGGAAGTGCCAGTGTTGGTCGAGATCATCAACCTCCATAGCGCCGTACGAGTAGAAGAAGGTTTAAGTATCCTTGACGGCGCTGTGATCAAGGAGTGCGGGGGAGGAAGTGATGTGCACCGATGGCGACATGACAAGTAAAACTCATGTCATCATCTTCTTCGTCGGAATTTCCATTTCCGTATGATTTTCCCTCGACCTCCATTCCAGCCAGGTTAGACCCCTGATGACACCAGACTGGCGACTRGTAGAAACCGGTCGGGTCCTTCGCCAGATGAGTGCGCTATTTCCGACGAATTTTTCAAAGCGCCACCTGCGCTCGGAGTTGTTTGTCTTTTCGTCTATGTCTGTCATGTCGTGTGTCTTGACTATGTCTTG